CGTGGAGCGGCTGGGCCCGTGAGCCGCTGAGCCTGCGTGTCCGGAGCCTGTGCTCCGCAATGGGAGAGGCCACAGCAGTGAGAGGCCCGTGTACCACAAAAAAAAAAACTGGAGAAAGCTGACAGCTGACATTCAAGAGACGCTTGTGAGATGAAACTTGGCTAATGACTGGATATTGGGGAAGACAGATTTCTAGGAAGTATTTAGAACTTTAAACATCTTTTTAAAGAACTTTCAGGAAGCATATTTTTTTTATCAAGACTTGGTCATCAGTTGGACCTAGAGATGATCATACTAAATGAAGTAAGTCAGAAAGAGAAAGACAAATACCATATGATATCACTTATATGTGGAATCTAAAATATGACACAAATGAACTTACCTGCGAAACAGAAAGAGACTCACTCATGGACATAGAGAACAGACTGTGGTTGCCAAGGGGGAAGGGGTGGGGGACTGGGAGTTTGGGGTTAGCAGATGCAAACTAGTATATACAGAATGGATAAACAACCAAGTCCTACTGCATAGCACAGGGAACTATGTTCAATATCCTGTGATAAACCATGATGGAAAAGAATGTATATGTGTATAACTGAATCACTTTGCTGTACAGCAGAGATTAACACAACATTGTAAATCAGCTATATGCCAATAAAATTAAAAAAAGAAAAAAGACTTGGCCATCAGTGAGATTAGCTGGAATCTCACAGTCTTTCTTGTGTTTTTGAGAGACTTTCATGAATTCTAAAGTCTGTCAACATCGTCAGTAGCACAATGTTTTCCCAGTGAAGATAGCCCAACATGGCAGGCGGGGACAAACCTAAGGAAGCAAGAGGTATTTGCTTCCCTCACCCTCCACATCGTCTAGCTCTCGCTTTGCCTTCTGGGGCCCCCCACCCTCTAACCATGGAGGGCCTGACACTGACGCTGGGGTCCCCGAGCTGCCCTCCAGCCTTGCTGTCTTGGACAATCCCCGACTCTTCCATGCTGCTCACATCTGTTCAAAGGCAACTCTCCCCTCAGCCAGCTGCTGGGTGGGAAGGAGAGCTCACATCAGTCCCACAGCTCATAGCACTTTATCCTTATACCATAGTTTTAAGTCCACCGCTGGCTGACGATGATGTCACTTTTATCTGAACCTACGTTTGCTTATCTGAAAAGTTAAGTCATTGAAGTAGATCAGAGGTTATGCATTCACATGCCTATGGAGGCTGAGTGTGTCCTGTGGATGAGCTATGCAAACCGGGTGTCAGGTAGCGGGCAGAGGCGGTCTCCTTAGGGACCTCGCCAGTTCCCACCAGTATTCAGCTTCAGTAGACAGCTGTCCTGCGCGCTCAGTGTTGACACACCTCCACATTTCTTCAAGAGAATCTGGATATGCAGATTTTCTATGTAATTATCCAATTTCCAAAAATGTGGCAGTGTAACTAATTCAAACTTCTAAAATTTGTGAGCCAGCTCCGTGTAGGCCAAAAAAAACACAGCTGTCGGCCAAAAGTGGCCTGGGAATGACCGGTTGGCACCCTCTAGATTGGACAATCTCTGAGGCTTTTCTCTAGCTCTTTAACTGTGGGGGAAATCTGAGATGTTTTCACCTTCAGGAAGTAATCCTTAAAACTGTGGAATTCTAGACTCCAGAGCAGACCAGAGGTAAACGTAAGTTTGAACTATCAGGTTCTGAGTGTCCTTCAAATTTCAGCAAATAAACACTTCATCAATATATATGATTAACTTCATTTTTGTAAGGTTTGAACCTGTCCAATGTGGTGAAGCCTGAAAATGGTCATTTCTAAGACTAAATTGTTGCTTTTACCTTGACCCAAATTTAAATAGAGTTTAGCTATGTTAAAATTAACATCATCATATGTATATATGTGTATAACTGAATCACTTTTCTGTACACCTGAACCTAACACAACATTGTAAATCAACTGTACTTCAATAAAAAATCATATAAATAAATTAATTAAATTAAATCAATATTATCAGGGTAATGTTATATTAAAACAATGTGCAAATAGATTTTTTCCACTTATAAAACATGAGGATAATAATAAAGGGTCTTTGTTAAATTACCAAGCATTTGTTACTCCTCACGTTATTTTTTTTTTTTGCTTTGTTTTATTTTGTTTTTTAACAAATTTTGCTAACATACCCTGTCACAATGAATTTTAAAAGCCTCTGATCTTAAAGATCATCTATAAAATGTGAGAAGTGCTAAATATTCTTTATTTGATGCTGTATATAAACCACACTAAAATTCATTTCCTTAAGTAAAAGGCAATATTGTAGATCGAGGATTTTGATTAAATTGGCATAGTCAAGACCAGGAAGATAAAGTGGACACACGGTCAGTGTATCTTCAGCCCTTGTCTTAACAGGCAAATGAACACAACTTGAAACACAGGTGACTCTTGCTCTGGTCTATGAGACAGTGAAGGGAGCTTCTCAGTACTTAAATATATGTGTTGTCATTTGTTATTTCTCACCATCCTCTGGGTTAGCTGGGCACTTCCTCTAGCCTGGGCCAGCAGGGCTAATCTCTGTGGTCAGCTGATGGCTCTGCTGAGGCTGGATGGTCCAAGATGGCCTCACTCTCACGCCATGTGTAGACAGGCAGTTTGGTCTCAGGGGCCTCAGCTGGAGGCTGCCTCTGCTCCATACGCTGTCTCACCCTCCAGGAGGCTCACCCATGCTCCTTCCCAGAGTGGACTCAGGGCTGCAGAAGGAGGAAGACAGGGCAAGCCAACTGGCTCATCCTAGCTACACACCAGCCCCTATTAGTATCTGCATTTGTAACTTCTGAGCTACTCCAAGTTCTCTCCTGGTCTCTGATTAGGCCGTGTCTGATAACGTCCCATTGGCCTGGACCTCAGACCTGTTCCCTCTCTACCCCACACCCCTACCCCCCTCCCCAGACCTGCCAACAGCACAAATGACCCCTCTGTACCATCTCAGGAACTGTGCAATTTTGTGAGACCTTCACTACTTCAGAACACACATCTTTTTTTTCTTCTTCTTCTAAAGCTGCCCATGTGGTATGAAGCACTTGGTAAGGCTCTCTCTTCTCTGGATTTCATGTGGACACAGATCTCTATTTTGTTTGGATGCCCCTCAACTTATCTTAGGTTTTGACCATCACATAGACAGTCTTGTTTGAGACCCAAAGAGCTACGGCACTGGATTCCTTTTGAGAAATTCAGGCCTCACCTGCTTCTATCCCTTCTATCCTTCTCTTTTGATCTTCTCATGTCAGGAAGGTCCTTTTCTTGACCAGCAGGAAAATTTTCTTAAATTGTATCCTCCACCTTCTTTTGCTCTGTGAGTTAAGCTCTATAATGACTCCTCCAAGCATTGGCTCAACAGCTTTCAATTCAAGTCCTGAAGAAGGTCTGATTCGCAATGGGTCAGCATGAGGTCTAAAGGTCAGGCTCGGAGCTTCAGTGTTATGACCATTCAAGAGTTCAGACAGGAAGACTTTATGAAAGCTCTCTCTTCACCAGAGGTTATCTGATAACGGGGAAGAATGAAGTGGTCATTTTCAAAATAAGCTAATCATGGCTTCTATCTTGGCATACATTCAAATGGAGTTTAACCACATTAAAAATTAACGTCATCTGGGTGCAACCATGTGCAAATAGGTTTTGTCCACTTATGAAATTTGAGAACGAAAAGATAACGCCAGGTGATTTTTTTAATGCCTATAAAATGACTCTAATAACTTTGAATTGACATCTTAGGCGGCCTTAGTTCAGATCGTTTGCATATATTCATAATGCTCTAGAGTCCCTTAGGAAGAAAAAAGAAACATTTACTCAGTCACCACTTTGCATGACATGGTGTTTAATTCTGTTTTCCAACTTGTTCAAAACACTCTCTTGGAATAGCTGAATAGTTTTTCTAAATCATACTTGTAAATTGCTCCTAAGAAGGCAAAGGCTTTAGCATGTTATTTTTATAATCTATACATCTAAAGTTATTTAAATATGAGTTTTTATAAAAGCGTAGAGGTAACTGGCCAGGAATTTCGTGTTAATTTTCTAAACTTTATTACTTCAACCAAGCCTAGTGTGTGCACCATAATTTGTAAAGCACCGTTAGCACAGATGTTATAAGAAAAGTCAAGGAATGTTTCAGAGGTGGAATCCTACCATTGAATACCACTGAGCCTAATGTTTACTAAAACATTTTTACCTTGGGACTTCCCTGGTGGTCCGGTGGTCAAGACTCTGTGCTTCAACTGCAGCGGGCACGAGTACCATCCCTGGTGGGGGAACTACGATCTCACAGGTCGCGCGGCATGGCTGGAAAAATTTTTTAAATAAAACATTTTTGCCTTTTGTTACATGCCATCACTAAGTTATTTTTCATCATATTGTTGTGTGTTTTTTTATCCAGTTATAAGGACCCAGAAATAAAGCATCATTTCTGGGAAGTAAAGAGAAAATACACAAGAAGCAGGAGAAAAAAGAAAATAGCAATCCAAGGGTTTCTTAGAAAACAGGCATCAATAGAAACATAGTATCTTGAAAACAGAGATGACAGACCTGCTGTATGCTGACCTCAGATCCACTCTGGGGACCACATGTATGGTGGTGACCATGAGGGTCATTCAGATGGAGGAAGGATTGAAAATGATACCACGCTTAAAAAATCAGAAGACCTCTGAGAGATTGCAATGCATTTAACAGAGGAGACTCAGGGTGTGATGGTTAATTTTATGTGTCAAATTGACTGGGCTAAGAGATACCCAGATAGTTGGTAAAACATTGTTTCTGGGTGTGTCAACGATGTTTAACGTTAACATTAATGTTTAATGTTTTGATGGCATTAGCCCACGGTGTCCCCCTTTGCCTGGCAAAGCAATAAAGCGATTCTTTTCTACTTCGCCCAAAACTCTGTCTCCGAGATTCAATGTGTCGGGGTACAGAGGCCAGACCTGGCTTTAGAATCAGTAGACTGAGGAAAGAGTATCATCCTCACCATTAGATGTTGTGGGTGGATGACATCTAATCTATTGAGGGCCTGGATGGAAGACAAAGGGGCAGGAAGGGCTGATTCGCTCTCTCTGAGCCATCCATCTTCCCTGCCCTCAGATATCGGCCTTCAGACTCCAGGACCTATACCGTCCGCCCCCGATTCTTGAGCTTTTGGGCTTGGACTGGAACTCACACCACCACCAGCTTCCCAGGGTCTCAGGCCTTCAGCTCAGACTGAACCACACCACCAGCTTTCCTGGTTCTAAGCTTGCAGACGGCAGATCATAGACCTTCTCAGCCTCCGTAATCACGTGAGCCAATTCTTATAGGAAATCTCCTATGGGTCTGTTTCTCTGGAGAACACTAACACATGGGAAATTCAGAATAACGCCCTTTAAATGTGGGAAGTACTGTCAGGGGAAGAGAAATCAGTCTTCCTTTATTGACCCTCTAGGCACAGAGGTTTTTTCCAGCCAACCGTAAGGCATCTCTTACAGGTGGAGATGTAGAAAGACCCATGGGTCCCCATCACGGTAATGTACAACCACAGCAAGGCCACCAGCTGACAGAGGTGCTGTCGAAGGAATCTGAGTATCAGACAGGTGATAGGAACAGTTGAATTTTAAGTTCCTTTATGTCCTCTGGCCTGAGATTTATAGTCAAACAGCATGGGTGCTGGGAGCACACATCTACCAAACCTGGGCTCTGTGAAACTCAGTTTTACCATCATCCTTAAAGTGGTGTGCACATCAGAGGGCCCCTTTGTGGGTTATCAGACATTCACAGAGTCAGTGAGCGCTCAGGGCAGAGGCAAATACAGCACATTCTCAGGAAAGTTCCCTGCTGCCTTTACGACTAATCCATCCCCTTGAAGATCTCTCAGAGAATGATTCAGGAATCCAAAGACAAAGCATCAATGAGGACACACCTGTGTTTACGGCAGACGTTGAAGAGCAAGAGAATACAGAGCAGCGGCAAGAAGAGAAGAATCATTGTTTAAAAACCCGGCCATCTGAACTTTTTTTAAAAAATGTTTTAAAAATGCATTTTACAAAAACCTTTGAAACACAAGGGGTCAGGAATCGTTTTTAATGTTCCGCACTTGAACGTGGCAAAGGCAGCCTAGCTGGAGGCTGGGCTCTCTGGTTTGCGTCTCTGGAGTCGGATCGATGGCATCCGACGCAGCAGAGTTTCTCCCCTTCTGTCTCTTCCATCGTCGTGGACCCCAGTTCCACCGACTCCATGCAGGGCCCCGGAGTTGGGCCCAAGGTTTTCCCCTTTTATCCAGAGGAAAACGTCCTTTCTGAGAAGTGCATTTCTGTTTTTCGGTTTTGAGTTAGGGTTTTGAGTGGGTTCTCTGTGTTTCCCGGAGGGCATCCTGCTACCTCGCATGTGAGCATGTTCGGCCCGGCGGTTCAGCCGCCGGAACGCACGCGCCTTCTATTCGTTTTCTGGTTGTCGAGTGACCCCTGCTGGTCACTGGGAGATGTTGCCGCCTTCCCTCATCTTGTTTCTAGTTAAATTCAGTCATCCGGCTGGAACTGCTCGGTTCACCTTTGTTTAGTTGTGATAGCTTCTATGAATACCTGTCGTGCAATAAATGTCATTTTCATCGCATTAAACTCAGGGTTTTGAAAACCGCTCCCCATAAAATGGTGAAATTCACAGCAAAGGAAAACATCTCTCCTGGTGAATGTTAATGATTCAGTGATCTCGTGCTGACAGAGGAGATGACAATTTTTATATTTTCTTGAAAAATACTAGTCGGCAACAGACACGGGGACTGACACGTTTTGAAGCCCAGCTGGCGGCACAAAACATTTGCTTGAGCCTCGCCCGGTTGCTCCCATCGATGGAACATCTATAGCTACCCAACCATAGAGCAAGGTAATCTACGGCTTACACAGCAGAAAGGATTACAAATGAGGCTAAAAACATCCCAGCATTTCAGAAGTCAGCAGCCTAGCCTCCCTGGACCTTTCTATCTGTAAAACCATTGGCGTTTGTCTATTGAATAATTTTTTGTTTAGTGCACCTACTGTGTAAAAGGCTTGAAATAGGGCAGGGAAGAGAATGGGTAATAAACAGAAAATAGAATACAGCCATAGGTTAGCTGCAACAATATTAAATCTATATATTTTGAGCCTCTTACCTGCTCATATGTGTTCAATAATTTATTTCAGTGGAGGTCAGTGTCTTCTACTGAGATTCTCATCTGTTGTACAGTGAGAGAAAAAACAGTAGTATATACTTAATTACCTTAATATTGTAATGACTAGCAATCCCCCTCCAATAACTCACTGTAAACAAAGCTACACCTTTAAAAGGATTGTACTGTATACTCTTATGGAAACTAATAGCAGCTCACTTTAGCCAGAGCTGAGATGGGCAAACTTTAGCTCAGCCAATGACGTAGGTCCCTTAAATCTCTTTAGAGGAAATACGAGCAGCGACATTTTCAGTAGTCTCAGAGGTCAAAAGGAAAAGAAGATTAGATACTCGTTGGCTACATGGATGTGTGTGTGTGCATGTGTACAAATGTTCCATATACACAAATACTCATACATAGATGTCCAAACCCTAACGTGAATGGAAGAATCATACTGATAACTAAATACGTTTATGGGATTTGAATGAGGCGTTGCCTGTTGCCTTGTGATTTTCCTCTGTTAAATTTTAGGCACGTATAGCATATCACCTCCCTCTCTTTAGACTTTGCAAACCAAGCTATTATTTCTTCTATTTATCAGTACTTTCTCTTGAAAAGCCAATCCTCCATAGACGCGGAAATACTTTTGTTGTATTTTTTCTTTCCTCTGAATTCTCATCTCTGTTTGCCTTCAACCTGGCAGTGAAATGCCTCAAAGTGAATACAATACCCCAGGCTTTTTAAAAAGTCTTCAGGACTTTCTAATAGTAAAGACCTTGCCTGTGTTTGAAAATCAGCCTGTTTAGAAAACAGTAAATTCACAGCTTTATCCACTGAAAGTCTTATCACAACTCTCCTTTTTATTTATTGGCATGGCTTTTACTCTCTCAAAGATCTCTTTACTTTATGTGGTTCTTACAACATCTTGACCCTTTCAGTCGACGTTAATTTAACTAAATATTTCTGCTTCTCTGTGTATTTTCCCTTGAAGTTCTCATTTTTTGTTGATGTTCTGTCTTTTAACTGTTCCTTTTGTTCCATTTTCCAATACTGCAGGGACCCTTAGAGCTTGGAGGTGGAGGAAACATTTGCAAATCTACACCGACTTCTTGTTTATTTATGGCTCTTTCAGCAATGCTCTTTTCTTTGCAAGGAGCTCAAATTCACCAGCAAGAGCTAAGGTCATACTCAAAACATACCTCTGATTTCAACCAAAGAATAAAGGGAGAATAAAAATTGAAAAATATTTTAAGAATCCTAAAGATACTCTGACTCGATTTAAGGTATACATTATAAGGTACATCGTTCTTTTTTGCAGTGAAATGGTGTGGTCTCTGGATGTATCTCTTTTTCCACCCCACTTGAGAATTTAAACTTTGTTCAGTTTCACAAGATGAGAATTCTCCAAATATCGTGGAATTTATCTTAATAAAAAAGAAAACAAACCCTGCTCAGTTCCTTCATTTTACAGTTTTTTCCTTGAGGGCATCACCTGAGGACATCATCTGGAGTATCACCTGAGGGTATCACCTGAGGGCATCAGTGGAAGTCTGCTGGACAGTCTGTATTGGTGGCGCACCTGACCAGCCTGGACAGTGGCTAAGTGTCACTGCTGTTCTAAGGCTTTGGCTGTTTTCTTCTCCTGACTAAGGTATAGCTGTTTCCTCATCTTAGCTATAGCCAGGCTTTACAAAGTCTGTATCATCAAGTTTTCATTTTTAGTGTAAAAGTATCTTATGGTTGATGCCATTGTCTGTTCCTTTTATCTGGCAGGTGCCTATGTAGATAAGCTCCTGAATCTGGGGTCACCTACAGGTCATCCTGTGCCTTCAAATACCGGGTGAGTGGAAAGGCAGTTGAGTCATCTCCACCCATTCTGTAGATGATTTAGTGTGAACTCCAATCATTATTTCCATGGTGCTCTTCATGTCTCTACTACTGGCTCCAAACGCCAAGATAGAATCACAGACTTGCACAGCTAGAATGGAGCTCAATCCAACCCCTTTACTGTATAAATAAGGACTAAAAGTAGCTAAAGAAGTTACGGGATTGTCCGTGGTCACAAACGTTGGCCAATGACATAGCTAGAAAAGTACCAGGTCTTTGTGGATTTATATGTATGTATGGGTAGATGTTCATGCAAAATTTGCCATAGACAGCAGACAGTCTGAGCTCTTCACAAATCCTGGCTTTTATAACCCTTATAGCAGCCTTCTGAAGTAGATACTCATTATCCATCCAATTTCAAAGATGAGGAAACTGAGGTTCAAAGAGGTTAAATAAGTTTTTCAAGGTCATGTAATAGGGAAGCTTTATGTTCTATTACAAGTTCATCACTAAAGGGATGTTGCCTATAAGCTTAAATTATACATAATGGCCCATCTCTGGGACACCTGCCTCCCAGGTAATGAGCATTAAGCTAAAATACCTTTGTTTAGCTCACAGGAAACATCCTGACCAGGCCCACCTGTGAATGGCTGCAGGAAAAAAGAAATTCACACATCTTCTCCAGAGTCGTGCCAGAACCAGGAAATGTTTGATTTTACTGCCTCTCCTTTTAGCTTAAAAGAAGCTTGGGAGGCTTCCCTGGTGGCACAGTGGTTGAGAGTCCGCCTGCCGGTGCAGGGGACGCGGGTTCGTGCCCCGGTCCGGGAAGATCCCACATGCCGTGGAGCGGCTGGGCCCGTGAGCCATGGCCGCTGAGCCTGCGCGTCCGGAGCCTGTGCTCCGCAAAAAAAAAAAAAAAGAAGAAGAAGCTTGAATTCTAACTCAGCCAAGACAATTCTTTGGGATGGTAGTCCACCATCTACTGGGTCTACTGGCCTTCTGAATAAGGTTGCTATTCCTTGTCCCAGCACCTCATTTCTGGTTTTATTGGCCTGCTGTGTAGCAAGCAGTACGAGCTTGGACTGGGTAACAATCACATACCTGGTAGGTGGCAGAGCAGGGAAGGAAACCCAGGCAGTCTGGGTCCCAAGCCTGGTCTCTTAATCACTATCTTTCACGAAGGTCAAAGTCAGTTACGTGTCATCAAGGTGTCAGCCTGTTCCAACTGATGCGTGAACTACTGAGCACAATATGAAAGTAATCAGTGACGTAGCCACTCAAGGGAGCAGCCCTGGATTTTATGTCCCGAACGTACTGCTAACAGATCTACTCTGTCCCTTGTGTACACATTTCATCTTTCACCACATTCCACTCAAGAGCATTATTTTTCTTCCATTTAACCCCTCTTTGTCTCTAACATAGTCTCTCTCTCTCTCTCCCAACACCATCACCTCACCCCCCAACACAAAGTCTCTGTCAGAGAGATACAGGGAGAATCTCTGCCCTCATCTTGGGAAACTGGCCTCCAAACCTAAAAAGAAGTAGTGAAAAATCTAGTTAAACGTAATATAATGTAAGGTAAGCTCTCGGGCCATTTCTAAGTATAAATGGAAATTAGTGGAAAACTAGACTTTTGTGACTTCTTACTGCTGCCTAACAAATTACTTCAAAATTCAGTCATTTAAAACAGTAAACATTCATTGTCTTGCAGTTTCTCTGGGTCAGGAATTCAAGAGTAACTTACCTGGGTTGTTCTGGCTCAGGGTTTCTCATGAGGTTTTAGTCAAGTTTCACCTGGAGCTGCAGTCCCCTAAAGTTCTCTAAGAGTTTGTCTGAAATTAGATTTGACTGAGGTTCACTTATATAGCTGGTAAGTTTGTGCAAACTGTTGGCAGGAGGCTTCAGCTCCTCACAGAAGGACTTCTCGGTAGGGTCTCTCGAGTGTCCTAATGCAACGGGTTGGCTTCCCCTTGGGTGAGTGACTCAAGCATAAGCAAGGCAGAAGCACTGTCTTTTATGACTTGGCCTTGGAAGCCATTCACCATAATTCCTGCTACATTTTCTTGTTGAGAAGAAAGTCACTAAGTCCATTCATCTTCAGAGTAGGAGGGTGGAGGGATTAGACTTTACCTTTAGTAAGGATTATTAAACCTGTCTATTCAGTAATAAGCTCTATTGAGTAAATATTAAGCATATATTTTTAAAACACTATTTAAGCTCCTAGATTTAAAATATTCCTATAAGCAGTATATGGTTTTCAAACCTTGGCTGCTCATTCCTCTCTCCAATTTTCCAGAACTTTCCCCATTCCAAGTTACATAGCACTGTTGAAAAATGAATCTCCTGAGTAATTTGGGGTTCAGCTACACAGCATAGTGGCTCCTGAACTGACATCCATGAAAATCAATTTTAATTCATTCATATGTGGCTTAAGTAAAATATTTTATGAGGTACTAGATCAAACATCTGTTCTATTTCTTTCGACTACTACTTCAGTAATTGAATTATTTTTGGAAAAGCAATCAAATGAGTTTCTCGTAATTATAGACTGTTGATTTGTTCATATTTCATGTCCCTTACAACACTTAAGTGAGCAGGTTGTTTTTTTTCTACAAAGCACTTGTTCCATTATTTTACTAGAAGCTAAAGCAATCTTATTTACCCAAGTGACTTGCTTCTCAATTGAAATCTGTTTCTTAAGAACAATGACAAACTAAGAGTGTTTATCTTATTGTTCCAAAACTGAACATGTATTTCTCTTCTGGTTGATTGATTTTCACTGCTAGGAAACAACAGCAGGTGTCCTCAGAAATGTTCATTTAAGTAAAGCAAGAATCCACCAAACAAACATCATTCAGATAAAAGAAAACACTGCTTCCTCTTGCTGAGTCCACAGTTGGGTTAACAGAATAACGTAAGTCAAAGAGTCAGTGTATCTAATTAGATCAGACAACATATTTCAGTGAAAAAGTAATCAGATCAGATGTTTAGCTCATTTGCTCATTCAACAAACATTTGTTATATATCTGCAGCGTACTGAGGGGGAGAAGTCAAGATGGTGGAATAGGAGGACGTGGAATTCGTCTCTCCTCACAAGTACGTCAGGAGCACGTCTACAAATGGAACAGTTCTCACAGAGCACCTGCTGAACATTAGCGGAGGAATTCAGACACCTAAAAGGACAAGAAAAATCCCCTCGCCACTGGGTAGGATGAAAGAAAGAAACAAGAAAAGGGCAATCGGGAAGGGACCGGCAGCCCTGGTGGGGAGCTGAAGGTGAGGGGAGGTCCCCGCGCTCAGAGAAACCCCTCACAGCAGGGGAATCAGCTGGGACAGAAAGGGATCTTCAGGAGATTGGAGGGGAGTGCAGGAGATGGTCTGTGGAAGACAGGACAGAGTAAGAACTGTGCACATGGTCTGTGCCACAGCCCTGCACACCCCAGCCTGTGTCATGAGTCTCCTGGTGCAGAGGGGGACTGGGTGCTGGAAAGTGGGGTTCGGAGTGTGGACCCAGGGAGGGGACAGCTGCTGGCTGTGAAGAGGCAGCCTGAAGGGACAGGAGTAAGGAGCTCCACAGTCAGGAAAGTTTGCAGAAGCAGCCTGGGACACCACAGAGGCAAGGCATCATTCTTGAGCGGCTCGCAAGGGGTGGGCCGCCATCCCAGCCCCCTTCCCCACCCGCTGGCCTCTTCAGCCTCCGTGGGCACTGGGAGGGACTCCCATCTGAGTCAGCCTCACCCACCCCTCAAGCCAAGGCCTCCTCTGCCTGCACAGGCTCCGAGGTCCTGAGCGCCGCCCGTGCCAAAGCCTCCTTGGGAATCAGCCCTGGGTGCCCCTGCCTGAGGCAGGAAGCCACCGATGCTGGCGGGGGCTGAGTGCTAAAGCGTGGGGTTAGGAGAGCGGATCTGGGGAGAGGACATCTGTTGGCTGCGTGGTTACAACAGAGGGGACGGGAGGGAGGGGCTCTGGGGCCAGGAATGCCCCTAGGGGAAGTGTGGTCTGCCTAGGAAATGAGGCGCCATCATTGAGCACTGCACAAGGGGCAGGGCTGCCACCTCCCCACATGCCAGCCCCTGCCTCTGTGGGCACTGGAAGGGACTCCCACCGGAGCAAGTGTGCCCCAGTCTGTCACAACTGCCTGATAGTCCCCACCACTGCAGCAACTCGCACACACACCCCTCGTGGCCGCCGTACCCCTGCCCGACCTGAGCGCGTAAGCGTGCCCTGGTCAGCCGCTGCTTCCGCTTCTTCTCGCCTGGGCATGGGACAGACACCTGAGAGTGGCGCACATGCAGAGGCGGGGTCAAAACCGAAGCAGAGCCCCTGGGGCAGTGCGACTAAGGAAGAGGGACGGAAATCTCTCCTTGCAGCTGCACACGCCGTGGATTAAATCCCCGAGACTGGCTTGGTAAACCCTGCTTCCGTGGAATATCTGACTGGACGGTGAGTGCTCTCACAACCAAGTCTCGTCTAGCCTTAGCAGCAGTGGACTCTGGGGGCAAGTACACGTGGGGGTCGGGCCACGTCACAGTCTGAGCGGCCCCCACCGTGCCCACAGCAGGTCCAGACACCAACCTAGAGACATTGGAGGGCCTCCTGGGGAGGCGGGGGCTGGCCGTGGCTCACTGTGAGGACAAGGACACTGGCAGCAGAGGCCCCAGGAAAAGATTCTTATTACCGTTATTCTTTATTTTGTTTTCTTTCATTTTGTTCAGTTGTTGTTGCTTTTATTATTTTCAATTTGTTATTTATTTATTCCTTTTAAAATTTTGTAATATATTTCCTATTTTTACTTTTTTGTTGTTTTGTGGCTTTTTCCTGTTCTTGTTCTTTGTTTTTTTGTGTGTGGGTTTTTGTTGTTTTTGTTTTTTGATTGTTTTTCTGTGGTTTATGTTTCCTTTGCTTTTTCATAGCTTGCCTTCTGTTTTTGCTTTGTTTTTTATTTTTTGTTTTTGTTAGTTTAGTCTTTATTGATTGTTTTCATTTTGGGGTTCTTTGTTCAGTTGTTCTCTTGTTTTTTGTTTTCTTTGGGTTTTTTTGTCTTGTTTTGTTTACTTTTTTGTTTGTCTGTTTCTTTATTTCTGTTAATTTGGCTTTGTTTTTATCATTTGTCTTGGGTGTTGTCTGTTTTCTTTTTTGTGCCTTGTTATTGTTGCTGTTTGTTTGTTTTAGTTTTTGCTATTTGTCTTGAGTTTTGTTTGTCTATTTCTTTCTTTTCTTTTCTTTTCTTTTCTTTTTTTTCTTTTTCTTTCTTTGGCCATGCTACACAGCTTGCAGACTCTTGGTTCCTGGGCCAGGGGTCAGGCCTGGGCACTCGGGGTGGGAGCACTGAGTCCAGGACGCTGGACCACCAGAGAACTCCCAGGCCCAGGGAATATTAACTGGCATGCACTTTCCCAGAGGTCCCCATCTCAACACTAAGACCCGGCTCCACCCAACTGCCTGCAGGCTCCAGTGCTGGGCACTTCACAACAAACAACCAGCAAGACAGGATCACAGCCCCACCTATCAGCAGACAGGCTGCCTAAAGTCATACTAAGCTCACAGACACCCCAAAACACACCACCTGATGCAGCCCTGCCCATCAGAGGGAAAAGACTCAGCTCCATCCATCAGAGTGCAGGCACCAGTCCCTTCCACCACAAAGCCTACACGAGGCCCAGGACCAACCTCACCCACCAGGGAGCAGTCAACAGAAACAAGAGGAACTACGACTCTGCAGCCTGTGGATCGGAGACCACAAACTCAGTAAGTTAGACAAAATGAGACAACAGAGAAATATGTTGCAGACGAAGGAACAAGATAAAAACCCACAAGACCAAATAAATGAAGAGGAAATAGGCAGCCTACCTGAAAAAGAATTCAAAGTAATGATAGTAAAGATGATCCAGGATCTCAGAAATAGAATAGAGGCATGGACTGAGAAGATACAATAAATGTTTAACAAGGACCTGGAAGCACTAAAGAACAAACAGAGATGAATACAATAACTGAAATGAAAAATACACTAGAAAGAATCAATAGCAGAATAACTGAGGCAGAAGAACAGATAAGTGAGCTGGAAGATAGAATGGTGGAGATAACTGCTGTGGAGCAGAATAAAGAAAAAAGAACGAAAAGAAGTGAGGACAGTCTCAGAGACCTCTGGGACAACATTAAATGCACCAACATTCAAATCATAGGGGTCCCAGAAGGAGAAGAGAAAGAGAAAGGGTCTGAGAAAATATTTGAAGAGATTAT